ACCGAAGTATCTAAAGAGCAAGCTAACAACTAAAGCATACAACAAATGGACAATGATGATAGTATCTGATGATAGTGTGTGATGGTAGTATGTGATGATAGTATCTGATGATAGTATCTGATGATAGTATCTGCTATATTTACCTTTTTTACAGTACGTATCTTCGCAGTACTTATTTATCTGCTTCTGATCGCGTTTGTTCCTGGTTAGAAGTGGTTGGGTTCTAGTTACGTCGAACCAGTTATTGTTATCGTTGACCATTTCATCTTCATTGCTCTCCACTGGTAACTTGTCCCTTCTGTCGTTATCTTCATCTACCCTCGTCAGTCCATCATCTCTGTAAACATTGTTGTTATCGTCAGGCTGTGATCCGCCTTTCGTTTGTTGCTGATCGTCGTGTCTCTCCGTGTGGACGTCTGCGCCCCTCTCGTCTTCACGGGCATCACGTGATGACCCAGGAAGCGATCTAATTCCATCTGGAGATTTTGTCTTTACGCTTCCAGCGTGCGTGTCGCCTAGCGATCGTTCTATTCGTTCATCATTTGCCAATACAGTTTTGCCATTTCTACTTTGAGATAACTCTTTCACGTCCAAATTTTCTTGAAATAGCTGTAGTTCCTGAATAGGTTAAAAATATTGGATCTCTAAGATTGATTGCAATGAAGAGAGCAGAGAGATAATATAACATTTTTATTACGAGTTTAAAAAAGAAATAATTTTTGAAGATTAACACGAGTGGAAAGAAATGTAGGCCAATATGCATAGATTTCTATAAATTGATGCTAGCAGGAGTAATAGAGAAACATATTTTAAGGGCATCAGTTGCAATAGGACTAAATTTTAAGGACATTATTTGAAGTATGACTATATTTTAAGAACAGTGTTGGCCATAGAGGTCAACTATGTTTTTAAATTATGGTGCGATCTGTAGTTGAAAAATTAAGTCATTAAGCAGCCACAGTGGCGTAGGCAGGGGAGGTTAGGGGGGTCATAACCCCCCCCCCACCCCATAGACCCCTCGGTATATATATATATAAAGTATGAGGGGGGTGTAAATCGAAAGTTTGAGTGGGGGGGGGTGCAAATAAAAAGTTTGAGGGGGGGTGCAAATCAAAAGTTTGAGTGGGGGTGCAAATTGAAAGTTTGTCCTCGGGTAAAAATTTGAACCTCTCCCATCCCATGAGACGATCCTGGCTACGCTACGAAGCTGCCATTCTTTTTAAAGCTTATTAAATGTTGTAGTAGACTAAGTATAGAATTTCAAACAAAACTCGTATAACATAATAGAGTGTACCATAGTAACAGTAACAAATTACATCAATAAACACAATTGCGACATGGGTCTTGTTGTTTTACTTAGAAATAGCGAGGTTATCGTGCATGATTAAGATAAACAACGATACTAAGAAGATAAAAAAATGGAAACTTATATTGGATAATTACGTAGCTGACAATCAATAATAAAATAGTTGAGATTCGACAGTTTAGTAGTTAACAATCAAGAGTTAAGTAATTAACTAAAAGTCAAATATTTGACTTCATACAGTTAAGTAGGTATTTTTAAGGAGTTAACAAAGAAGGGTTTCTTTCAGGCATCTCTTCGTGCGACACGAAATAGAATTTTTTGTGTCTAAAAAAAAATGGATACATTTTTCTGTGTCAGATCCTCCCAGAAAATATAATTTGCCACCCCCCATCTCCCCGAAATTTTTAAGTGCCCCCCCTTACATCCCCTCTTTCATACGAGTAAATATTTGAGTACCCTCAAGGTACTGACCTGAGTTGCTTGAAGTTGTTTCATGTCCGTGAGCTTGACCAACGCCCCCTCCAGCACGCTAATCCTGGAGTGCTGGTGAACCACTGCCAAGGTCAGGATGACCAGCGCTAGGGCACACAGACACCTGGCACTGAAAATGTCACCGTGACCCAGACACCTTGCCGGGGCGCCATCCGCAGAAACGTCTTTTTTGACATGTTCACAGCCTTCATCCACATCCACGCCGAAACTCTCTGACCTCTTGAAGGTCACGTCCTTGACTCTCCGACCATATTCTTGTGAAACGTCTTCTTCAGTTTTTTCGCTAACTGTTGGTGCATGTTTATAAAGTTTAACACCCAAATCTGCACAGAAATTATCGGCGGCTTCAGTTTTTGGTTTCGCTGACTTAGCTTTTTTGATAGCATCTTTGTTGTCTAGTACATCAAAGGTCTTGACATTCTCTGTCTTTTTTGTTCCTAAATCATCCTCTACATCTTTAGATAAACACAACACATCTTGGCGTTGTTGTAGATCCAACAATCTACATTTCTCCTCACAACAAAAAGATTGTTGTGTAGGTTGTGTACCTTTATGATTGACAGCGTTGCTCCGCGGAGTAAAGATATCTTCCTTGGACTGCTTCGCGGAATTTGACTGAGTTTTATCCAACCGATGAAGTTCATCGTTCGGGTAAAACGTATCCTCTAAACTGACATCATCTGTGCAGCTATCGTGTCGAGGTACAGAAGACTTTACAAATTTCTCCATTATGGTTTCATCGCTTTGTTTGTTATATGTGAAAAGAAAAGTCGCGTAATGGATTAATGTTTTGGTGAATGTGCTTCAGTTTTTTTGTTGTTGTGTTGTTTGTTTAGAGGAAGATGTTACATAGGTACCTAAAACCTGGAATAGAAAACAATATCCTTGTAAAATAAAGCCAAATTTTCTCAGTTTTGTTTTTGTTTACTTTCAAAATAAGCTACAAATGCCTCGATATGTTCTTAATCAGAAAACGCGTTAAATGTTATTTCAAAAACTGGTTTTTAAATTACATATATTATTAAATGTAACTCAATTACCTTTAATTTATTAATTAATTAGTAATTCGAGATAATTATTGGTTTGGTTAGGTTTTAGAGTGTAGTCACTACGCACCATGTTATGTCCATGACGAAGAGTTGTCCAAAGATATTGAAGATTGCCTGACCACCTTTTAAAAAAGCAACTTGCGACACTTATACCAAACTTATCTACCCCTGATGACTAAAAATAGAAACAAGCCAGGCCATGACGATTGTAAACGATTCACCAGACAATTTAATCCCCCCCCCTTCACCACACCCCTACTTAGAAATTTCCCCCGGGGGATTCGGAACTTTGAAAACAGCTCAACCGCTATGGTATTGATTTTATTTTTGATTTAAGCCGAAAATTTGGTTTTTTAAAAAATGGTTGATGTTTTATAAAGAAACGTACAAAACTACAGAATTGCATCACATCAGATTAAGTTAACAGGTGTTTGCTCTCAATTTATGCAAAGTGCTATGTTTTTTTTTGTTGTAAAAAAACACAATTGTTAACAATGTGCTCTGTGCTTTGTTGTCGTGTCAACACATTATTAATGCCCCTGAATGCAACAATGGAACATCATTAGATTTATGAGCAATATAACCCATACCCTTGTGCCAGAATTAACGTTAAAATAAAAGTATAGACGAGTGACTAATTAACCTAATCAACTTTGTAATCATTATCTTGTATGGTGTATATCTTACGACCTCTGAACCCGTCTATTTTTGGGCCATCCAAAGCTTGTCCGAAATACTTAGAAAAAGGTAAGGTGAACAACAGTGATTAATGGAGGCAGTTTTGTAATCCGGTATATTTTGCTATAGGCAATAAATTATAAATTATCTACAGTCTCCATAACAAGATTCAACTCAAAAATAAATGTTCTAGAGTGTAAAAAATAAATATCCTAAAGTCTCTAAAATTTAATAAGATTTCCATAAATAATGATCTACAGTCTCCACATTAATGACCTACAGTCTCCACATTAATGCCCTACATTCTCCACATTAATGCCCTACATTCTCCACATTAGTGCCCTGCATTCTCCACATTAATGCCCTACATTCTCCACATTAATGTCCTACACTCTCCAAATTAATGTCCTACACTCTCCACATTAATGCCCTACATTCTCCACATTAATGCCATACATTCTCCACATTAATGTCCTACATTCTCCATATTAATGCCCTACATTTTCAACATTAATGTCCTACTTTCTCGTACATTCTCCGCAGGAATGGAAATATATATTTAAAAACTCAGTTGTAACAAAATCTACGCATAGAAAAAAATGACATGTTATAGCTAAATTTTGTCCATAAATAAATCTCAACCTAACTTGCGTACAAATATGTGCGATAACAATTATCACACACAAAATAAACCAAATAAAAACAAAACAATAATATATTGTACGTTTGTTTTGCAATACGAATTTGATTTGACTGTTTCCTTATCACAAAGCTTGTCTTAGGTGGGGTGTAAAAAAGCTATCAACACCCCAAACCTGCGTGATATACACCATAAAATCTGTTCAAACATTTTCTTCCCATCACAAACATACATTGTTATTACTATTTAGTTAAATATGTGTAATTGTAATGACGAAAACATTACTTATTAACTTTAACAACAGTGTAAATTTAAAAAAAAATAACAGAAATAAACAAAATAATAACTACCAGTTGCTGCAAAGTTTAAATCGTCATTAGCTTACCTGCAGCTGGTGACGTCAGCTTCTCTTCCAGGTAGGTAGTCAGACTTGAAACTGAAAATAGCTCGCCCCACAAGGCCGTTGTCGCCCGGGAAGGGTTGCTAGTGCGTGTTAGCTAGTAGCAGGGCGGTAACTAGTAAATCATGTAGCGATTGAAGGCAGCAGTTCGGATAGTTATAGAACTTACCAGTTTGGTTTGTTTATAACGTCTTTGTTTGAAAATTAAACACGGGTCACAGTTAAGAAGTTTAGTGACCCGTGGGTCATAGTAAACAAAGTTTACGACACACAAGTTGCAGCAAAACAAATATCATTTCACACAGGTCATGAGAATCGTAGGTTAACGCGAAGATAGTTCGATCATTTCGCATTGTATGTGTTGTGTTTTTTTTTAATCTCTGTAACTCCTGCGGTGAAGGTCTGTTTGGATAAAAATCGTTTTTTTGTGTGTGTTTGTTCTATAAATAGACGCTGACGTAATGCGACTTGAGGTCAAAGGCACATCACAAAAATATCTATACAAAACACAGAGTTATACTTATAGGACAACAAGGTGATAAGAGCTCATTACTACAGCGGGTCTAGTGCGGTTACACAAAGTGCGTGTTGGGTCATTTCGTGTCCATCTTGTGCGGAAATGTGCAGACACACCGCACTATTTCCTGTTGGTTTAGTCTTACTGTATGTGCGTGGTAGATAAAAAAAAAATTATAAGTGTTCTTGAAAACACTTGAATATTTAATAAATTTAGTTTCGTGGTACAATTTTATGAGGCCTACAGTAGCGTTTTCTAGAAAAAGAATGGACGGACTTAGATAGCCTGAAGCTGTAACGTTATATGTAGATGTCTGATGTGGTGTATGTAGGGAGGGGGGCACATGAGGTGTATGTCTCAGGTGAATCAAAGGTTGTTTATAGGAAAATGAACATCTGAAGTAATCTATCAGGCAAGGATCAAAACAAAGTAAACAAGGATTAGCTGTTTCAGATGGTGAAAGGGAGACAACACAGTAATAATAGTTTTGTAAATAGAACATATGACGTTGTTTTACACATGTACCAGCTATCATATGTTTGAAATCATATATATGTGTTCGCCATTATATGTGTAAACCATTATACGTGACTGCCATCATATGAGTTTACCATCGTATGTGCCAACCACCAAATGTGTCAGCTATATGTGTCTGTCGTATATGTCAACTGTGGTTGACAACGGGTTGACAAGTGGATTGCAATCGCTGGCGTCTGACACCAACCAGCTGTTTTATGGCCCACTTAAGACCCCGGGTTTCTTTCTTTGTCTGTGTAAACATATAGCAATATGGCCTGTCACACTCTACTTATACATTTATATACATAGATATGTAGATATGCATGTATGTAGATATACATACACATATAACTATTTATAGGTATATATATATATATATATATATATATATATATATATATATATATATATATACACATATATCCAGATATATGATTTAATTTATAAATGCATATATATATATATATATATATATATATATATATATAGGCTATACATTGTGTAAAGTGACAATATTCTTTACTAAAGACCATTTATGTGAGGTTGTGGTGGGGGTTAGGGTGGGTGAAGGTAGTTGGGACATGCACCTTTGCGTTTACAGGTCCCCAAGGTCGTAGTGTGGGTCTTTGTGTGTGTGTGGTGGCGAGCTGGGGGGGGGGGGCTGAAGTGCAACAACTGCACGTACAGATGAACACACAGTTCCGGCTTTAGGCCCGCGTCAAGCTGCAAACATATATTTCCTCGAGAAATCACTGAGCCACGAGAATGGCTTATCCCCCCCCCCTCCCCTGGGCCGGACTGGTTTATCTCTTTGTTAACACTGTATGTCATACTTTGAATAACAATGCGGCCAATCTGTTCTAGCTTGATTTTTAAAAAATAAAGGATTTTAAAAGACATTTTAATGCAAAACAGCGATACAAATCATTTATTTCAAAAGTGTGCAGGAACAGCAACTCTAGTGGCGTATCAAGGGTCTTGTCTTCATAGCGAATTCATTTCAGGAACAGCAACTCTAGTGGCGTATCAAGGCTCTTGTCTTCATAGCGAATTCATTTCAGGAACAGCAACTCTAGTGGCGTATCAAGGCTCTTGTCGTCATAGCGAATTCATTTCAGGAACATCAACTCTAGTGGCGTATCGAGACTCTTGTCGTCATAGCGAATTCATTTCAGGAACATCAACTCTAGTGGCGTATCAAGGCTCTTGTCGTCATAGCGAATCATTTACTGATCTATACCGTTAAGGCACACTGGAGAAGAAAAAAAATGTCTTACAAATCCTTCTATAAAAAAAAAATCACCATTCTTAATTTTAAAAGTTAAGAAATAATAAAAAAATGCATTGTGATTTTTTAAATATTAAAATTGGTAACAGATTTTTTTTATTTATAAAAGCTAACTTTAGAACTCTTTTTATTATAAGCTAAAGTTTGACTTATTTATAGTAACCGGGAACTAGGATTTACACGACAGCAGTTGTCCCTATCAGAGCAAGAACACCAAAAGTCTCCTACCCCACAAAGTTTAGCCTGGTTCTGTTCTTGGAACTGTTGGCAACTTATACTTTTTTGGACTCCATAAAAGCCATTTAAAGTTCACACATATAATAACGTATTAAAAATTAATAAAATAACCTTTCAATTCGGGCTTTTTTTTCTTTCTTATTCGAAGAAGAAAAAAACCTTTCGAATCTGTGTGTCTGTGTGTATGTCTCTCTCCCATGGATACCAGTAATCAATCGAAAGATTTTGCCTAAGGGTGAAGAAGTGTACAGGGCCTCCGGGTGTATATTATTATATAGCCGTGCATTTCATGGTGCGTATTGCCGTAAACTAAACCACTTATGAGATAAAGGGTTGGGTTGTGTCCAATGTTTGAAAGGGTTGTCACCAAAAACCTGGAAAAATATAACAAGGATTTTTAAAAAATATAGCACATATATACCAATGGTGTCATCCATAATTGACATCACGCTTTTTTGACGCTTTTTTCCTCCGCCCCTCCCCTTCGTCACACATCGTCACAAAAAGCCAGCACCCCCTCCACCAAAATGACGTCACACCAGAGACGTAGCGAGGGGGGGGGGGGGGGGGCGGGGGGTGCGGATCACACCGGTGGCACCAATTAGGGGGGGTGGCACCAATTAGGGGGGGGGTGACACCAAGGCAAAAAATAGCAAAATATATAGAGAAAAATTTGAGGGGGGGGGGGGGTGCAAAACGCAAATTTGAGGGGGGGGGGGGGTACAAATCGAAAATTTAAAAGTTTGTCCCCGGGAAGGGTCGCTACGCCTATGTGGGGAGGGTGACACCCGACCTCGCTACGCCACTGCGTCACACCTCACTCTACACCCCCCCCCCCCTCAAAATTGCAGTTTTCTTAAAACATCGATACTGTTCTAAAATCTTGTCTGAACTCTGTGGAAATAGAGAGTTTTAATCAATTGTTATTACAATTTATTAAAACAGTTTTCTAAAACACGAAATAACGGCTAAAATATTTTCTAACATTGCTTTTTTATAAATCAAAAGTGTGAAGTCACACCATCTGAACCCCCTTCTCCCATCATTACAAACCATCACAAAATTACGGACCCCCCTCTCCCCCCACGAGTGTGACGTCATTTATGGACGACCCCAATTAGTTTTTTCAATTAATGACCATTTTTGTCAAGTTGAAAGTAATTAACTATGTTAAACAGCAATACAGATTTATCAAGAGGCAGTATTCGTTTACAAAAAAAATAAATAACAAACAACAATGAGGGAAAGAAGAGTGACAACTCATAGCTGATATTTTGCCATGTAATAGGTTGTTGCGCTTCTGCTCTATCAAACCTTTTATATCTCTCCTGCCTCACCCTCCCCTCTCACATTATCAATTTTCATTTTTTGCACACTGCGTCCTATTTTGTTTGTGTCCGGCAACCTCTGTTTAACCCTACCTGAATCTTTGTGTTACTGTCTTCAGCATATCTCTGCTCCATGACGCCAACCATCAACAATCACCCACAACACCAACCACCAACAATCACACACAACACCAATCACACAAACAAGCAACAATCACACACCATTCCACAGCCAGGTCACATAGAAACTAGAAACACACATGGCCCTGACATATAAAGTAGTTTCAGTTTCATAATCGTCGTCAATGTTGTGTCATACAGGCACACAGAGTATGTTAGCGACCCCCACATTAATGTACACACTACCGTACTGTAAACACTCCGATATTTTGAACCACATAATTACTTGAATATAACAAAAAAATGGGGAGGAGGTTGTACTGTTTAAACAGGAAAATATAATTAGAAGTACATTTCATTATTGGGCTATTTTGTGACGGCATGTGGTGGTACCATTTTACTGTGGTTAAAGGGTTGTTATAGTTTTAGGGTGATTGGTACGTTAAGGGTTGTTATTGTTTTAGGATGGTTGGTATGATAAGGGTTGTTATTGTTTTAGGGTGGTTGGTAGGTTAAGGGTTGTTATAGTTTTATGGTGGTTGGTAGGTTGAGGGTTGTTATATTTTTATGGTGGTTGGTAGGTTAAGGGTTGTTATAGTTTTATGGTGGTTGGTAGATTAAGGGTTGTTACAGTTATAGGGTAGTTGGTAGGTTAACGGTTGTTATAGTTTTAAGGTTGGTGGGGAGGTCAAGGGCTATTACAATTATAGAGAATGTTATGGTAAGGGATATGATCTGGATGTTATTTTTTTAATAAAGCAACTATAAAACTGTTGATTAAAAAAAAAATTGAAGTAAAAGTAAAAGATTTTTGAAGTACAGCTGTCGTAGTGAATTTGTGGAGTTACGGCCCTTAGGATAACTTAGCAGGCTGTGACCGATATAAGATGCTGATCCCAATCTTTCACGATATCCAGAAGGAACTACGAACATCTAAAAACGCTTTTGTTATTTACCTGGTATTACGTGAGCTTATATTCTGTTTTAAGGCTCACAGCTGTAAAATAAAATAAAACACTTTGAAATTGTTGCCAAAGATGGGTAAATTTCAACTTTCAACAACGATTGGCCAACTTGTAAACATATTTTGTTGTGATAGCGAAGATTATAGTCAACGTGTTTGTTATCACAATTTTCCTGATCATTATCATCCCTCTACTAACGTTACATTAAAAAAAAAAAAACCTCAAGGCGGTTGGACTTTTTGCAACAAATAACAACAAACATATAGTATGTGAACACATATCAGTTGTGTTTTTTCTGGCTTTTTTTTTCTCGTCTAAGGAGTTTATGGCGTCAAAATGCGTGGGGGCGGATCACACCAGGTGGGGGGGGGTGTGACACCAAAACAAAAAAGAACCTGATTTCAATGAGAAAGTCTGGGTTTTTTTTTCGAAAATTAAATATATAAACCATTAGGCACATGGTTAAAGCGAATTATCCTGAGTTTTAATACAAGTGTTATATATTTATTCGTGGAGTGGGAGGGGGTGACACCCGGTGCGGGTTTTCAAGGATGTATCACGATCTAGTGACGCCATTTCCAGGGGAACAATGCAATGTGATTGCATGGATCAGTGGGGCCCAGTATCTTGTTGCAAAGGGTTTTAAAGTTTGACACGAGTTCTTGCCCTTCTAAACATACACAAGGAAACATAAGCACAGAGTTTAAATGCTCATAAAAAACACAATAAAATAGAAGCACAGTTTAAATGCATATAAAACACAACGAAATAGAAGCAAAGGCGTAGCTAGGGGAAGGCGGGTGGGGCGGCCGCCCCGGGCGCCGACTCTAGGGGGGCGCCAAACGAGCTAAAAAAATTAATACCTCCTTATGAGCTGCATTACAGCAGAAGTTTAGAAACTATTCTGCTACTTGGCCTGACATGATTACCTATTTCCTACATCAGTAAAATACTGTTAAAGGGACGATGACTCGTAAAACACGCTCGACCTTTCCAATATGTGGTCAGGCCTCTTGAGCCAACGTGAATAACTACATATATGGGGAGTGGGCAAACTTAATTTGCTCAGGGCGCCGGAATGGATCGCAGCGCCCCTGGAAGCATATAGTATAAGAGCTGATAAAAACGCACAACGAAACAGAATCACGTACTTGATTGGTAATTCAATCTTAAGCAGTTGTCCTTACACAAGTCGAGGTCAAACTGACCACACACCAAATGTCTGCCTGTCTCTGGAACCATGGTGTGTGGTCAATGACCTTCGGTTCTACACAGGGTAAAATAGACATTTATTTTTGACTTGAATTCACTTAATTTTATTCATTGTGGTGCATACGTCCTCAACCATAACCTTCCTGTTGATGATTGAAATATTCAGCCATTAATCACTAGACAATCAAATGTGAATGCTAATTAAACAAATGACAACCCTATTTGATGAATATAAGACGTTTATGTTTTAAACAGAATGTGATTTACCGTAAACAGATGATAAAGTGAGGGAGGGGGTGAATGTGGTTGGGGCACACGCTTAAAATAGCGCTAATATTTATGTTAGCAGGTTTAAAGCGCACAGCATGTAATGTTTGTCAACAATAAATAAAGCGGGAGTGATCTCCCCTAAACTTTCTCGTATATTCTGATATTTAATACAACAGTAAAGGGGATGGCACTTTCAGTGCAATCGTGCAAAAGAAATGTTTTTTATACATTATTTTGAATATTTAATACTTAAAAGTAACACTTCCGGTTACCAAATATCCTTCAAAAGCTGAAAGGAACTCTCGCATATAATCTAATGCTTGTATTTGAAATTCCGTCCAACCAACTTAAAAGTACTCATGTTATAGGCTTTTGAGAAACAGGAAAAAGGAGTTAGCACCACTTCCGGTTACTTGAAATCGTTTAAAAGTTAATAGAAACTATAAATTGATACTTAAAACGCCTAAAACGGTCAAAAACATCTATTAATTATTCAGCACGATTACAGCTTTTCCTCTATACTCTGTATACGAGAAAGTAAAAGTAGTGCATGCACTGAAAACGTGTACAACTCCCTGTTACAATGACGGCAATAAAAAATATAGATCTACGAACAAGTGTACTCAAACAGCCACCAACAGACACTTGTGTGAAGTTTCACAAGTATTTTGTACTACGCCACTTCCCTTCACACACGTCAAACCTTGGGTCAGGCTCTTTCATGTCAGCACGTCCTGACCTGATCTGTAATTAACACTACTTTGTTAATTATGCAAACATAAAAACCGCCCAACCATTAACCATTTCCCCCCTTCTCCAACTAAACTATGCATATTCACTGGTCCAGAAAAATTTTCTTTTTCCTATTGCCCGAAATTTTACTTTTTCTTTTGTGTATGTCGTTGTATGCTATGCTGTCAAATTTGACACCGCGAAATAAATCTTGACAAAAAATGTTATCAAATTATTTTTTTTACAACAAACTTGAATAAAATTTAACACGAAAGGAGAGCATGTTTCTTGACGGTAGATCTGTTACTAATTTTATTCGCTGCGTTACGGAGAAAGCAATGTAGGACACCACATTACAGGAAGATATTAAGGACGCCGCCCTTTTCTGAGAAGGGCTGAAGGAAGTTCAGCAACAACTAAAACATTTGCCCAGAGGCGTAGCGAGGGCGGGGCGGGGGGTGCGGACCGCACCGGGTGACACCATGGAAAAAAAAAATGCAAAATGCACAGAAGAAAATGCTTTTTTTGCTAGTTACATTCATGATTAGTTAAAGTTAATAGTCTTTCAAGTACAAATCTACAATAATTACAAGAGTGTGGGGGTGATACCACGACGTAAACGTGCTAACTATAGAGAAAAAATTGCTACGTTTAACTGTATTATTAACAGACTATAGATAAACATCATTACTATTAACTCTGCAGGAATTTAAGCTTATAAACATACATGTACGAAGATGCGGAATA